GCAACAGCGAAAGCAACAGCAACAGCGAAAGCAACAGCAACTGCGAAAGCAACAGCAACAGCAACAGCAACAACACCAACACCCACAACCACGACCACAACCACAACCACAGCCTCAATGTCAATCAAAACACTTCAGAATGATGGCGAACAAAAGGCAGTAATACCAAAAACTAGGTAATGATGTAAAGTGGGGGGGCAGTCTGAAGGAAACATGATCTTCGGTGCTGAAATCAACATGTTTACTGCGCAGCCATTGTGCTCAAAAATGAGCGGCAGAACTCATTTTCACTCGCCGGTGCTCCTGACTGAGCAAACTACTACTACTACTACTACTACTACTACTGCTACTACTAATAGCAATGATAAAAACTATAATGTCAGGACCGCCCGGCCTCGCCAGATCTGCGGCCAAGCGCCCCACCTGAACCCAACTTTGCCGGGCACTTGGTTGGGAGAAAGCTCAGAGAAGTAGCAGGGCTCTGGGTCTTGCAGTGTTCTCCACGAAGCATAGAAAGCCTATCCTGCTTCGTTCCAGGCACCTCTCACTGGGCAGGCACTGCGAGATCCGGAGCGTCTGGATTGAAGTGCGTCAGCTAGTTGGATTCCCAGTTTCACAGCCTCGTGGTCAAAGCAAACCCTCGGAAGCCTTGCGGCCACTTTTCTCCTACTCGTAGTAACTGCATACACCACAAGTCTTTTCGGTGATCTTATTCGGTGAGGGTGGGCATGCTGCATGACTTCGATCATGCCTGACCTGGCGCGCAGTGGACAGGGGCCGTCAGGGACCCACCGGGACCTTGCAAAGTCAGGGCGAGGCAGCATGGTTTGAAAGGATGTTGGTGGCACGCGCGATGATGCACCTGTCAGCAACCTGCGCCCTTTTTTGTGGCCTCGCCTTCGTGACTGGTGCAAAGACGGCTTTTGCCATGTTGGCTCGACAGTTTCATGGATAGGGATAGAAAGTTTTTGGGGCGCCGGGGCCGAGATGTGGCCGAGCCACCCACGGCCCAAGCGAGAGAACCTCAGCTCCTTGGCCATTGCTGCTCGAAATGCTGTTGTTGTGCCTTTTGTGGCAAAGTCTCTAAGGCTCTCGCCCTGAGCAAGCCAGAAGAAGGACCATTTGCTCACACCCACAGGGGCTCTGGCTCTGAACCTGCAATGTGCATGGACTGCAGCCCGGCAAGAGGTGGTTCTCCAAATGTACACTCTAGTGCCTCCACACTTGCACCATTGGAAGGAATGGCGCAGTGGTACTTGGTGCTGCGATCGGGGCGGTGGCACTGAGCTCTGAGGCTTGTCTTGCCGGTTTCGCTTGCTCCGATTCGCGCTGTGCCAGTGCCAGGTGCAGTGTTGGATACCCCCGGCGCAGCCAGGCCCAAGGGCATCCAAGGGCCGAACAGCCGAAGACAGACTTGTTCTGTTCCCTTCCGAGAGCATCCGACAGCCGAGTCGCAGGCCTCACTGCTGAGCTCCGGCAGAGGCGACCGGTCCGCAGCGCCTTGAGACGTCCACACGCTTTCTGAGTCGGGGTCGATGGGTACTCGCGATCCGAGAACAGGTGCGATTGGTAGAGAGCTCCCCGCATCCTCCCTGACCATGTTGCAGAGGCAGACGCCGCTTCGGTCGGCACAGGAGCCCTGCTGAAACTTCTCCGCCCGTGTTTCCTCAGATTCTAGTGCAGAAAAGACAGGTTGCAGGAACTTCGATACATTCCTTGACCACGGTGCTGTCTGATGGCGTATTTTCTGCAGCCATGCAATCCAAGCGTCTGCAGGGCCCAGCTGCGCCGCTGGGCTTTGAACTACGGACTCCACAGCCGTTAGAGGCGCCGACCAGGCAGCTGCGTTGGGTCAGTGGAAACATGTGGGATCGGTGCCGTGCAGCCGCCGTTGCTGGTGATGATGTTTCGAGGTGTCAGAAGAGGCTGAGGCTTGCTGGCTAGCTCCTGCTTGCATCATCCCATAGTTGAAAAGACGACATGCAGAAGCGGCGAACTTTCTTGCAAAACCATTCGCTCAGCCTCAATCCAGCCCTTGAGTGAGAATACCCAGCCGCAGGGGTGTCGTAGAGCCCCTGCCGCTGGCTGCAAAGTGTCTGGCACTTGGTGCAAGCACAAACGGGACCGCGGATCGTTTGCAAAGGCCGCTCTGCGTCTACCTGGGTCTCGGATTCAGTGTAGGTCAGGACGGTCGGGGTGAGACGAGTAGACAGACTTGACTGCAGTGGTGCTGCCTTCACTTGGCTCATCTTTGGCTGAGGTGGTGGCCTCCGCGGTGCGGCGCCGCCCGCGGCCGTCCGGGCGATGCAGGCGTCTTGCTTGTTTTCGGTCTGAGTCTTCGTGGCTGGGACTTGACGGATGCGGTTCAAGTAGAAGCAATAACGGCTTCTGAAGATAGGGAGAAATCGCTCTGCCAGGCAGTGCATGGGCAGTCGAACAACCACTATCAGCAGGCGCGCGCAATGCAGTTCAGGGAGGAACGGGTGGAGAAGCGGCGGCGTCCTCTGCTGCAGTGTGTGATCAGCATTGGTAGTGAGTAGCCAGAGTAGCACCGAATAAGTACCAGTCACTAGGACAAAGGTAGGACTTCTGAGCAGCACCTCCTGCCTCCTGTGCCACGTTTCCTCAGCTCGGCGCCTGAAGGTTGTCGACGCTTCAGCTGCATCCCAAAGCCAGATGTCCTACTTCGCCCCGCCGAAGACGACCCAAGCAGGGCAATTCGCTCCAGGCCCATGTTTTTAAGAGTCAGCACTTCTGTGGTTCGGCGGTTTCAGAGCTGGGGAACTCACACAAGACCAGGTACTCTTCTTGTCGTATTTTCGGTGTCTAGAATCTCTGGCGAGATTTCGGCAAGGCTTGGCCGAGTCGAACAGCCCACCTGTTGTGGGATTTCACCTTATGTTTAGGGTTTGGGTTGCGCAGTTACAGCGGGATTCCAGATATAAGGTCATCAGGGGCGACGGATACAGTCTACAACTGCCGTGCTCAGGCGTGCTGGACCGAATCAAGATGCGTCTCGAGGGGCAGGGGACGTATGCGGCTCCTTTGTGGCACAAAGCAGCCCCCAGTTGATATATCAGCAAGCCCTCTCTCTTTTCGAGTCCGTGACCTTTCGTGATGGCCATCCGAGGTGATCAGCGCTCTAGCCGGGGCCCAGCCTTTCGTAGGTTTGCTTTGCTGAGTTGGCTTCAGGCCAACAAACCTTAGTACTTAGTACGTGTCCCTGCAAACCATGATGTTTGCATACGCCTAGCTGTTGTTCACTGCCACTGCCGGTAGCTGCAACGGAGCTCTAATGCGTGCTACAGTTCTGCGCAGTTCAACAGCAACACGGCGATGCATGGCAGGGATGCCCTTCTGTGACAAAGATATGCTGAGTAGCAATGACTGGCGATCTGAGCAGTTGCAGGGCGGGTGCAGTTTAGCAACATCGCTGAGGTTGTGAATATGGGTATCCGCTTGCTGAGTGGAAACTCCGCAGACATGATGAGCCAGGCATTTATGCGGCTGTGAATCCCTTTTCACCAAAGGAAGTTGGTGTGACTAAGCGTTGGAATCTGATCCAACGTCCTATTCCGATCTTGGGTTGTTCTTACAAAGTTTGGCAGGCCTGGTGTCCCATAGCCTGCCTGTACTCCTGTGCGCTGGCCACTTGCGTCCTCTCTGGGGTCGGGCGCCTAGCCTGGTGTTTCAGGAAGACAACACTGAAGATGATCTCCGAGACATCCGAGAGAGCCGAGACGATGGTTCCTGTTTTGCTCTGGCACCGCTCGACCGGCTCGAGCCTGAAGGTCTACGCCACGATTGTCTTCACTCTCACGAAGATGTACTCCATGACTGTCATCGGAAACTACAAGGACAGCATCAGCTAAAGCACAAGGAGACAAGGGCCATGGGGAGCAGAAATCCTTTGATTTTGGCCAGGCCATGTCATTGTGCAAGTGTATTGAACGAATCCTGAACACTGCTGTGCAGAACTTGCTCGTTCGCTCTGCTCCCTCAGTCCTAGGACGTTTTGGCAGCATCTAGTGCCCTGAATTTCGCCCATCCCAGCGGCAAGATGCCGACCATGCAGCTTCCAAACTCCAGCCTTCTTCTGGCATCAGGATGCGCAGTTCAGCGAGTTTTTCCAAGAGACGACAAAGTACAGGGTTGCAGGCAGCCGTTGAAAATGGTGTGCTTTCTCGTCCCTTTTCCGGATGCAAAAGGGAACCATTCAGGATTCTTGCAGGCCGTGCCGCAAAGGCAACTCTCTGCAGACTGCTGAAAGATCCCACATCTCCAAACCTGTCAAAGACTGCTGCTCGTAAGACCCGAAGCGGGCTTGTCAGGCTTTTGGGCCTTCTGCGCGTCTCTGGGAAGCTTTGCTTTTGCCTTTGTGACTTTCTTCTTGTTGAAGTGGGGACCTCAGACCATATGCCGCTGAGTTCGATCTCGCCACGATTCAGTTGCCTAGCTCACCCGCTACTGTATCCTGTTGCCATCCAACTCCACACGCTGTGCCATCAGGGTGCGCGGCTTGCCCGGCATTGCGGGATGCGTGGTGGGCTTCGGCATCGTGGTAAAGGCTCGCGAGTTCAGTAGATGTCCGTGTCGACATTTCAGCCAATGTAGGCCTCACGAGTTCCACCGTCGGACCTGCTCCTGTGCTTGTGCACGTGCATCATGTGGGATGCATGTGGGATATGCAGCACTGGGCATGCTGGACGGGTCTTGACTTCCCGTGCGCAAGTGACACTTGGCCCATCGTCCTTCTCTCACCGTTGAATTTCTGACTCTGTTCGCAGAATCGCACAGGCCATGCTTGATTTCCGCGGAATTTATCGCCGCCGCTGAGCTCAGCTTGTGAGTCGAAACAAGTCAGGCGTCAGCCAACTTCTCAACGGTTGTCGGATTGAAAACTCGCTTGCAAACCACCGAAGACTTTTGCCAGTGTTCGCGATTTTGCCCAGGTGCAGGAAGAATCCTGTCGTGACCGGTGCGGACCCCCCAGATCAGAAAGTGAGATCACACCATGGCTATGTATGTGCGCCTCATTGTTTTCGGATGTGCCTCCAGTCCTTTTCGTTTCAGGATGGCTTGCGGCCAGCACGGACCTTGCAGTCGCGAAGTCTTGTGGTTTTGTTTTTTCACGGTTCTGAGATCTGCGAGTCTGGCCGATTGCCCGCGCCGTGTTGTATCATCACTTGACTGTTCTGTGACGTCACTCTGCCTGTCTTGCTGGTTGTGTTTTTCACTCGGGCTCAGGTTGGTTGTATTCGCTCATCGCAGTTGCAGATGCCTGCAAACCGTTTGACTTTCATCGGTGTCGTCCTGCACCCATTGTCTGTTGTGGCGTCGTCAGGCGAGACGGTCTCTGCTATGCCACGCGGGAGCGCCTCGAATCAAGAAGTTGACCGCTGGTAGAAAAAACGGCCCCGCCCAGGGCATCGGAGGCTTTTGGTGCTTTCTGCACAAACGCATCTGACCTAAAGTGACTAACTTCGAAGCTGGGAGCGCGAGACCCGCGTCCCTGCAAAACTCCCTCGTAAGTTGAAATGCTGGGGAACTCCAAGGTAGGCCTCCCAGCGTGAGCGCATCTTGGATGCAGACGAGGGCCGGGCAGCGACAGTCCAAGTTGCATCCCCAAGTTGGGGGGGGGAGCAGCTGTAAAAGCTCCCTCGATCCAAGGCTGTCCTGGGCAGACACGGTTCGAAGCTCGCAGGCTGCCCGGGATGCCGTGCGCGAGGGCGCGAGGGACTTCAGCTTCTCGGAAGAGCCCGATGGTTTTCAGTCTTTCTTTCGACACCACTGGGTGCAGGAGCTCGCATGCTGTAAAGATGAATGAGACGACGTGAGAGCACTCAGCGTTGCAGAGCAATGTTTTTTTCCATCCAGAGCGGGTCAAGGCAATGCGTCTGCAGGCGCTCCCTTTCAAGACAGACCTGGAACAGCTCGGCGTATATGCCACCGGATCACCTGCTTTCGAACCTTGGCAAGTTCCTGGAAGCACGTACCATGGGTTTCCAGCTGCCCCAAAGTTGAGAGATGTGGAAGCCCGGGAGCCAATACTTCAAATTCGACGGATGCATGACCTTTTCAGTTCAGTGGAGCTGACTTGCCCGACGGTGCTTTATACTTGACAGTCGACATCATTGGAAATCGACCTCGAGCATGCTTTTGGTTTGCTTTGTGCCCCTTGCTCCAGCATCTGTGCAGCAGTCAGATGTTTTCCGCTCGTCGGCATGTTGTGGACCGCGCCACACAGGTGCCGTGGAAGATTCGCAGTGCTCTGCCGCGCTTGGGAGAGACGGCAAAAGAAGCAGGGGTGAAAACGGGCTGCTACCCGCCGCTCCCAGGGTCTCTCCAGAGCAACCCATGTCAAAGACGAGGAGCGCTTGCCGGAAAGACGGCCTTAGTGGATGCGGATGCGAGTGCCACTGCAAATCTTCGAGTTTACGTGCCGGCTGGCCGCGTGGCAGCATGACGCTGTCGACGTGCCTTGCCTACTTTCAGTGCCACTCGCCCGACTGGCTGAGATGGCCGACATTGTACAGGAGGCGATTCCAGCATTGCCTCGTGATTTTGCTCAGAGAATGGATCTGATAGGCGTGGACCCTAAACAGACTCCCTTCCGACGAGCGAGGGGGACTTTCCAAAGGGCTTTGAACCTGAAGCGTCTAAGCTTGGACCAACAACTCCAGCCGTCATTGAGCCCACACCCCCTTGCCCTCCTGCCGTGGTCGCTTCCTCTGCTTGGCGTCGCTGAGTCGAAAGCAGGGGTTGAGCGACTTGCACGTCATCGGCCACGAAATGCCTGTCTCTTCACGAGCGGGAAATTGGCTGTAGAGTTGCGCTGACGACTTCCAGAGCGGCGCAACGAATCACGCCGGGGGGCCGTGCAAAATGTTTCCGCACGTCCCTCTGACCAGTAGCAGTTCAGGTTCCATCCTGGAGGTCGAGAATGCAGCTATGATATGAATGCATGCATATAAATATATGTATATGTACACACACACACACGCACATACACATCTACATATATACACGCGCAATCGCGCACGCGTGTACAGTTCTCATCCGTCTGTCGTGAACAAGGAAAATCCGGCACGAAAGCACTCGTCACCCAGAGAAATGTTGATGCAAGGTCGCGTCCATTCAGGTTGGAATTGCATGCCGTCATAATCTCATCTGAGTTTCTCCGCCTAGTCGGAGTTTGAGATGAAGGGAGGGACCCTCCGCCGCACCTTACCGAGGGTTTCATGTCGCCATGTCTTGGAGATGGAGTCGGACGGTCTTAGAGTCTAGAGTGATTAAATTTTACCGAGCCTTGATACTGTTCCTGATAGATGTGCACCTGGTATGCTAAAAGACCTCTGCCAGAACCGCCAAGCGGTGTGCCAGCTGGTGACAGATTAACGCGCCAGTATGGCATGTTGATTCTACACTCGGTTGCCTTCTCATGTATGATGAGGTCCAGAGTATCCCAACACACACGCCGGGGATCCTAATTAGAATGCATACTGTCTAGTGCTTCGCTTCTTTCGAGTTTCCTGTTGCACCGTTATTTCACAGAGCTTTCACTAAGGGATGGCAGTCAGCAATGTCAACAGACCGGAGACTAGGTGAGTTTCGCGAAGGGGTCCTTTTGACAGTGCGGGCGGTGCAAGACAAGGCTTGCTGTTTGGCGCATGGCTTACCGAGCAACACTGAATTGTGACATCGTAGCTGCGAGCCGAAATCGCACCAGTGTTTGCTGTTAGGAGTGGCATGCAGTGGCCGAATCAGCCGGGAAGTGAACGTAGCTTCAGTGTTCAGCGAGACCTGCAAACTGTCCTGCCAAATCTTGCTGACCCTCTCAGAGCTTCTCAAGGCTTTCCACCTCGAAGAGGTTGCTACATTGGAGTTCATACATTTGTTTGCGAGAGATCACCGTCGCCCATTTGGCACAGCAGGTTGTAGGTTCCCGGATGTTCCCGGTTTCTGAGCGCATGCTTCACAAGGGAGGTTTGAGGGCACATCACGACGCGACGAGCTCACGCCCACCATGGCGACTCGGCAGGAGCTGAAAAACAGGCAGGATTTGTTGGTCAGAGACATCAGGCTGCCATGCGCTTTGGTTCAGGGTTTGCATGGGGAAACATGCATGTTGCGTCAGCGGGGATGCGGACTACGTTGATCGTGAGTACCGTCTCTGAATTCCAACAGTGGTTCCTTGGGCAGGTCAGTGAAGGAGCTGAAAGAGATGTTGAGTCGACAACTCGGTGACGTGACATGCAACGGCCATCCCTGGGCTTCTAGCAGATTCTAGCAGCAAGACTTTAGCAGCAAGAATTCTTTTCTTACATACAAAGTCGAAGGGAAGCAACTCCCACAGGTCAGTGCTCAGCTCATATCTCGGTGTCAGGCCGAGAGGGCTACGATCCGGCTGCCATCGTCGGCCTCGAGAAGGTATCGGGAAGACTGTTGTGAGCCTCCACAGGCCTTTCGTGAGTTTCCTCAACAAGTGTAAGAGGAGGAGCTCGTCGAGAAGGTATGGGTGCTCTGTTCCGCGCTCAGGAGGACGGGGTCAGGCTGGCTTATCAAATCAGGCCGACCGAGTCTCATCCTGTTGTATCCAAGTGCAGTTTGAAGACAGTAAGGTCGAAAGAGTCACGACGTCCATCACGACTTTTGTGCCGTACGTTCCGAGGTCAAAACCCGAAGGAGCAGGACCGGCCCCTCTTGCCGCGCAGTGGAATCTGGTCAGTGGAATCTGGAGGTGGCAGTTCTGGCCAGGACCCATATCCTCTTCCTCTCTATTCCAACTGTTGGCCCCAGTTCATCCTGAGAGGCAAAGCCAGGGGCCAGGGAGCATCAGGGAGCACTGGGTGTGGGACACAGCAGGTTTGCTGCTCCTCGGGCTGCAGAGCTACGTTGCATCGCACTTCTTGGCCGGGGCCTTGAAGTCCTGAAGCTGGCTGTAGCTGATGACTACCTTGCGCTGCAGGCTTGGCATGCCAATCTTCTGGGGATCCTTGTCGTGGTAGTGGTGCTCACCGTCCGCAACATGTGCGCCGTCACGCTCAGATGGGTGCCGGGTTGTTCTGGTGCATTGGAGATGTGTCGAAACAGAAAACTGCACAAAGGTAGTCTGCCCATCCATTGTATCCTCGATTCTTCCTCTAGAACGCGGAATGCACCTCGCAGTGCATGGTCTGCTGCGGGTCCTTGCTGGTGCGTCGAACTCTGAGGTTCGGCAGGAGAAAGCTCGCAAGCTGCGCAAGCGACTGTGACACGTGACCGAGAGCTGTCAAAGTGCCGGGCTGAGACTGCGCCGGCTCTGCTCTCCGGATGTTCGGCTTGTTTTTCAGCTCTCCTCCGGTGTCTTTCGCCCTAATCTGCTGCGCCAGCCCCAAATGCAAAGCCAAATCTATTCCCAGGACAGTTCCCGCAACTTTTACATAGACACAGACCGGATCAATGAGAAAGCCGCCTTGTCTACCGTAACTGCATGACAAAGCAGGTTTGGATCTCATCCAACCGTGGTCTCTTCGTAACTTCGTCACATGCATGCGAGAAGTTTGGGGAGCTCTGGCCAAACATCTAGCATATTCGAACCCAAAAACCCAGAATGCTGGAATGAAGTGGTGTGAAGCCGGAGGCGTGGGCCGAATGCAGCCCGAGGCCTGCGGAAGCATGGCACCGGGGTGACGGACACGAGGCGTCCCCCGACGCCAATTCGCACACTGAGAATGCGACCGACGCTGAAGCAGCGACTGGATGAAAGCTGGTGAGCGGAAACAGCCAGGCGATCGGTCATCGGCCACGAAGGCAGTCTTCCTTTCGGCAAACGATACACCTTCTACACAGTCATGCAAACATAGATGCTGCATGATGCTGCATTTCTGGAGAACCTGCCGTTGCAGTCAGCGCTCTTAAAGGAGCCTTGCCAGCAGACCGGTGCAGTTGGGAAGAAAATGCCGGTGGCAGCGGGTCTAAATTAGGCTCGTTTTCGGTCCCCAAAAGAGTACGGCACCCTTACACGAAGGACTCGAATAAAGACCTCAATTTGGAGAACTACGCACATGACTGGCCGTTCGTGAGAGAACCTTCAACTTTAAGCAACTTTCATTTACTCTAGTCTGGCTGGAGGAGAAGGACAAATGGTGAGTGTCGAAAGGCCTCTTTAGGAATACTGTGTAAGTACTGCACTGGAGCAGTCGCCGTAGACAGCTTAAATCGCACAGTCTGGTTTGGGATAGCAGCAGTGAATGGGAGTTTGAGGCTTGCGGCTGTTCTTGAGGGCACGACAGACCTCTCACTCTCTGGAGCAGAGGTAAATAAGCCGGGTACTCGCGTCCACTTGAGCAGAGCATTGTTGGAAAATCTGATTCCCCAATGTGTGCCATTGTGTCCTCTATTGAGAGAGGTGCACATCGAGCCCACTTGGCAAGTCATGCTTATGAGCCATGTCATGCATGGCATCGTGGTCGTCGGAGTCGCCACCGGCCGGTCATGCACATTCCACAACATCGCACTGCTGTGCAGCAGCACGTATGCTATCCGGCAGAGAGCGTTCTTCTGCACAAACACCACATAACTTTGTCACAATTCTGAGGACTACCATGAGTCAGAGGCCGTCGCGACTCCCTTGGCGACTGCACGCTTGTGCTAGATGCCATTGCTCGATCGATGCCTCGCTTCACACGAAATTGGAACATTGGTACATAAAATATTTCGAGATGGGAGGCTCCGTGTCGGCCTGGAGTCCATCTGCGACGCACTGACGCCCCGGCGCAAGCGAGCACAGGCTGGAAGCTGTTCCTACTGGCGTCGCACACGCTCCTCTACCGCACGCTCGGCGTAGGCCGCATGCCTCCAGCGAACCTGCGCCGGCGAGACAAGGCGCAGCGTGCGGCTCGACTTGCTGCGGGAAGCCGCGCGCGCGCGGCACGGCCAAAGCCCCACGCACAGGGCCGTGCCGCGACCACGCAGGGGAACGAGGAGGACGACCCACACCGCCGCGCCGAGCGGGCCGCGACATGCCGCGGCACTAGCCCACCTCGGCGAGCGTTCTGCGCTGGCGAGACTCGGAACGTCGCCCACGCGAATTTCAAATCCTGGTCGAGCCGCGACTCCGTCACTGCCATCCGGCCCCCGTGGAGCTGCACTGCTGTGCGCTGTTAGCCTCATAGGCATAACTCGCCGTGCACGTAAACGGACGTGGCCGTTCAAAGGCTGGCAGCGACTCGCAGCCGGAGCCTGCGATGAGCGCACGTTCGAGATGCACTTTTCCTGAACTTTCCCCTGTGTCCCGTGCGTTGCTGCTCTCGCAAGCAGGACCCGTCGCCCGAACTATCAAACGAGTACTGGTACTAGTATAATACCAGTAGTGGTGGTAGTAGTAGTCGTCGTCGTCGTCGTCGCAGCAGTAGCAGTAGCAGTAGCAGTAGCAGTAGCAGCAGCAGTAGCAGTAGCAGTAGCAGTAGCAGTAGCAGTAGCAGTAGTGGTAGGAGTAGTAGTAGTAGTAGTAGTAGTGGTAGTGGTAGTGGTAGTGGTAGTGGTAGTGGTAGTGGTGGTAGTAGTAGTAGTAGTAGCAGTAGCAGTAGCAGTAGCAATCGTACTAGCACCAGTCGCAGTCGCAGTCGCAGTCGCAGTAGTAGTAGCAGTAGCAGAAGCAGTCGCAGTAGCAGTAGCAGTAGTTGTGGTCGTCGTCGTCGTAGTAGTAGTAGTGGTAGTAGTAGTGGTAGTAGTAGTAGTAGCAGTAGTAGCAGTAGTAGCAGTAGTAGTAGTAGTAGTAGCAGTAACAGCAGTAGTAACAGCATGGGTAGTAGTAGTCGTCGTCGTCGTCGCAATCGTCGTAGTAGTAGTAGTAGTAGCAGCAGTAGTAGTAGTAGTTGCAGCAGCAGCAGTAGTAGTAGTAGTAGCAGTAATGGTAGTCTTCGTCCTTGCTTTACTCGCTCTCCGCGAAGCATGCACACGCGGCACGGCCCCTCAGCAAACCCGAGCTTGGAAACTGTTCCTGCTTGCGTCGCGGTTGCTGCTCCACCGCCCTCGCGAACCGGGCACGGTCGGCCGGGAAGCCCTCTTGCAACGTTCACGCGACTTCCTTGCTGGACGCTGGGACACTCTGCTCAGCGCCGCGCGCGCAGTCGTTGCCGCACCACGTGCTGGCTCCGCAGCAGACGTCGCTGATGCTGCCGATGCCGAAGCCTTCCGCGAGCGGCGGCGAGCACTCGCGTGAGCCAATGTGCGGCGGGGAGAAGTTTCTCGCGCTCGCGCTACCTTGACTTCTGCTGCGATATGCTGCGATCGCCCCCGGGACAGACGAAACCTTCGCTGCATTGTCCGACCCGGAGCGGCGCCCGCCGGTGCCCTTGCATGACGTGCCTGCTGCCTTGCTCAACTTCCAACCGGACGCACCAGCAGTTCTCAACGACGCCGCCGTCGCTCAAGCTTTGCGGACTGCCAGGCGCGGCACCGCTGCTGGGCTGTCGGGAACCACGTGTGAACACTACAAGCTGTTG